TCTTAATGTGGATTTAAAGACATTTCAATTAGTGGAAAAAATTGCAGGGGGGAATATAAATAAAGGTCTAACCAACCAAAACTTTTGCGACCCCCTTGCAGTACCTCTGTGGACCCCCTAGGGGTCACGGACCCCCGTGTTGAAGACCTCTGAATCAGTGGTGGTTCTAGACCAAATGTACCAGGGGGCCAGAGTGTTTTCATTTGGGCACAGAAAAGCATGAAATAAAAAACAGGGCAAGGGATTCAAATATATTAAGAGAACAGCATGAAGTTACATTTCTATACAATTAGGTTTAATTAAAATTCTATTTCTTATGAGGTCAATATATGTTCATAATTATAATTCATAATTTTACATAATCTGGACTTAATTTAAGTTAAAATATTTTTCTATTAAATCTGAATTAGAACTCAAGAAAAAAACTGATAAGTCACTTCTAAAAATTAGAGCAATTTGTTTTGAAAAAAAAAAAAAAAAAACATTTAGCAGATGAAAACTGGGATCCTATCTCAATTCCAGTGAAGCTATCACCTTATTGTTTTTAAATAATTAGTAAAGCAGAATTTTTAAAGAAAAAAAATTAAATAGATCCAAAGGTCCTATCAGTAACCATGTCCATTCCAGCTCATATCAACATTAGAATTTCTTTGAGTATTATGTCTTCAGTACAGGGGCCATAACAGGGGCCGGGACATGATCCACAGGGGCATTGGCCCCACGTTGGCCCCTGTCTAGAACTGCCCATGCTCTGAAATAGATCCAAAGGACCTATCAGAAACCATGTCTGTTCCAGCGCATATCATCATTAGAATTTCTTTAGTATTATGCTTTGGTACAGGGGCCAGGACATGATTTACTGGGGCACTGGCCCCTGTTGGCCACCGTCTAGAACCGCCCATGCTTCAATGCGCGAAATGTTCCACAATCCTTCAAAAGTTTCTCAGGCGGCTCGATCCGCCTTCCAACTACCGAAAACACACAAAAAAAGCTCCCCATCACCAGCACCCCTCCCAACAGACTCACATCGGCGCGCGCGCACAGTAAACAACACCAATCGACAATCACTCATTAAAAAAAACACGCACGTGAAGGCGCGCGCACATTCCAGCGGGCGGAGTCGGTGACGCGCATTGGGGCCGTTTGTGAATGAGCTGCAGAGCGCAGCGCCTCTGAGGAGCAGTCAGCCAAGCGACAGGAGCAGAGCGCAGAGCGGAGAGCAAAGTTTCCCAAATGGATTTCTTTGGTGCAAGCAGACATTTGTTATTCTCATACGTTCTCATCAACGGGATATTAATAACCTTACAGGCAAATGAAGGTGAGTTTGTTTAAAAAAAAAAAAAAAAAAGCTCAGCTTTCTAAGGAATATTTCTTGTAGCAACTGAAAGGAAGCACGCGTGCCATGCGGGGAGCCTCCTTCAGAGAACTTTAAAAAACAGGAAATATTTGTGTTTAACTTTAACAACACGGATCAAACATTTGACTTAAAGATTCTTATAAAAGTTGTTTGTTTCAGTCTATAACGTGTATATAAATATGTCATATTTCGGTGCGCAACTTTTTATAAATACTGCGACGCGGTTTGTGCGCTACTATAATTTTTTAAGAGCGGCAGGTGAAGTTTCTGCTGTAGAGTTCGCAAAACTTTTTATATTTTTTTTTTCTGTTTTTGACAAGTTGCTCCTTTTTGTCTTATGATTTTTTTTTTTGTCTTATTTAAGTAAGTAAGTTAATAAGTTTGTAAATAAGACAGAAAGTTCTTTCGAGGACAGATATTTTGCCTTTCCAAGCAAAAATAATGTGTTATATTGTAAAAACAAACAAAAAAATTCAATATTTTTTGTTTATTGAACTTATTGCTGTTTCTTCACAGAGGTGCTTTTGGATATGAAGGCAAGAGGAGGAGAGCTGGGCTGGCTGACCTGGCCCCCAAAGCAGGGAGAGACATCTGGGGTGAGTAGAGCTCTTTGCTTCTCCTCTAACTCCCACATTTTCAGTAGGAATTTGCCTCAGGAAAGATCAGCATGGAGAAAATGTGCAGGAAGGGAGTCACAACTGTACCAAGAACATTTTGCATCACTGTCTCACGATTGCTCAATGTGTGTGTTTAAAGCATATGTGAGTGTTTTTATAAAACCTGTTGGTTAAAGCCTGCTTAAGTACAGATAGAAGAGACAGTTTAAGGTAAGGTACCCTATCAAGAACTGCCTCCAGAGCGTGTCTAGGCTGCTCCAAAGCACATATATAGGCGGATAGAATAGCTGCTCCCTCTGAACTGGGAATACTTGTGGCTTCTTGTGGTTTCGAGGCTCCAGCTTCAGAATTGTATGTTAGAGAGCAATTAAGTTTTAAAGTTTGCAGCATGTGGTACCTCTTTGCAGAGAGGAGGGGCCTCAGATGGAGCCAGTCAGCGAGAGCTACCTTTTTCCTTAGAGCAGGGGAAAATGTCTAGATTTAGGGATGAATCTTAAATGCTGCGGTTGTCTCTCTACCATGAGCAGACCAGAGACATGTGTGCCTTCCTCCATCATGTGGTTTTGAAGTAATTGACCAGTATGGCACATGCAGATTCACTGTAAATAGCCTCATTTCAAGTGCTGATGACTCAAAGGCATGTGCAGGCACGCTGCTCAGTGGTTCACTCAACTTTCTCAGAGATGTGTAACAGCTTGAATGATCTCTCGGACACTTTAGTTTCACTTTTTTTTTTTTTTTTTTACTAATACGTTTCAGATGTTTGCTGCCTTAAAAAAATCTCATAGCTATATGGCAGGTTGTAAAAAAAAAGTGAGAAAAAAATGTTCCACCGGGTCGTTATAAGAGGTGTACATTCTGCTGTTGTTCATCAAGTTTATATGCAGACCCACACACCCTGCCAGCAAAGCACATTCCTTTAATTAATAACACAGTGGCTGCATACAGAGAGACAACCGCAGCTTCTGCCTCCATGGGGGCCAGTTGTTCCTCTTGAGCCAAGGTTAGAATCTGCTGTCACTTTTTCTCAAACATATTTGTGGGAGAATTCAGTTTGCATGCAGCAATGCTGTCTGGGGAGGATGCCAACATGTGAGAAAGTGAATGGGAAATAATCTTGTCTCTATGCAATGTCAAAAATGCATCATCAACCAAAGTCCTTCAAGTCTGTGATGCATTTAGGCTTAAGGGATTTAGAAAATGGGTGTCCATGTCTAAAAGAAATGCTGCATTGATGTAAAGGTCTGTATTTACTCTTGTGAGGAGCGACGGACTTCTCTGCACTCTCTCTGTTTTTGTTTCCTGGTTCAGATTACAGCGGCCGAACCTTCATGGTTATATGGTCGCTCCTTTATTTAGCTATCCCCTTAGTTTAGGTTTGGTCCCACATGGTTAGAAGCTCTCAAGCTTTCCTACCTCTAACCTTTTTTGGTTTCTGTGGTTCTGTTGCAGTGGGAGGTCACCCAGAAAACCCTGAATGGCACACAGTTTTATGCCTACTCCATATGCAATGTCGGCGAGCGCGAGCAGGACAACTGGCTGCGCACCACCTTCATCCAGAGGCACCCTTCGGTCTCTCGGGTTTTTGTAGAACTCCAATTCATCGTGCGCGACTGCAACTCATTTGATGGTGCCTCATTAATCTGCAAGGAGACCTTTAACCTCTACTCATCAGAGGCGGATGCAGACGTGGGCACGACCTTCCACAAGGTGCAGTTCAAGAAGGTGACCACGATAGCTCCAGATGAAAGAACTAACAAAAACGAAATGCACATCAACACGGAAACGAAAGTTGTGGAAAATTTATCTCAGAAGGGTTTCTACTTGGCCTTCCAAGACATCGGAGCCTGCGTCGCTCTCCTCTCTGTCAGGGTGTACTACAAAACTTGCCCGGCCACAACAAAGAGCCTTGCTTTGTTCCCTGAGACTGTGGCTGGAGGTGAAGGCCAGGGGCTCAAGGAGGTGACTGGGAGGTGCATCGACAATGCTGAAAGTGTGGATTTACCTCGAATATACTGCACTATGGACGGGGAGTGGGTGGTCCCGGTTGGACAGTGCCAGTGTAATCCCGGTTATGAAGAAGTGGAAGATTCTTGTGAAGGTAAGCTCTTTGGTCTTAAAGTTTTAAATCAGCACCTCTTTCTTTCAAGGACCCAGACTTCAAGGTAACCTTTTATTGTCTTCTTGAGCAAAAGCTTTTTAGCCTCTTTGAAGGTCCTTTAAAGTTCTCCTTAGACTTTTTCTTCCTCTCTTTAGCATCCCTGCACAGTGAACAAAAAATAATTAAAGTGCCATTGCTTGATAAATATGTCTGATCTAAAATAGTCGGAAAGTTACATGTTTAAAAATTAAATCCAATTAAAGCCTAAGAAAGTAACCAAGCTTCAGTCGGTTATATGGCAGATTTTCAGATGAACTAAAGCTTATTGGTGTCAAACTATCTTATTGGTGATTTTTGTTGAGTTCTATTAAAAAATGTAAACTGGGCGGGGGTTAGGAAAAGTTTGTTAAACAGACATAGAACAGATGACATTGTCTTTTGTCCTAATGGCACGAAAACATGTTTGAAAAGTGAATCAGTTGGTTTAAAGGTGGTTGGGGTTAACTGAATAGGCTACAAAAACTTGCTTTTCAGTGTAAAGGGGTCAGAATTTCATAATTTTCAATGTATTTTTTTCTAAATTCAATAAAAACATTGATTCACCAACTTAAAAATATTTGAAAAATCCATTTACATCCAAATTTTTGGAAGGTTGGTAATAAATTTGGCCATTGTAATAGTAAATGTATATGCTAAACAATATTTTTTGTTTGAGTTAATAGCTTTTACGTCAAAATAGTTTATCTATTATAGATAATAAAATTAAAAAACTTAAAAAGGAATTTAGAGGAAGCAGTCAACGTCCAAAGCAAAGCTTTGAAATCCATTATAGGAAAAAGATCAAGAACTTTTCCTCAAGATCAGCTGGAAAGTTTTCAAGAAAGCCTCTGGAGGAGATATTTAACGACAGGAAGAGCAACTAAGGCTTTGCTCTGTACTGTACCTTATCCTGCCCAGGCAAATGCTAAGTGCTTCCATTTTACAGTGGTTTTTTTAAAAGCTTAGATTATCTTGGTTTTAATTACCCCAGGTTATAAAACAGACCTGTATGACAAATATTTATCATAGGTGCTATTATCATAGCTCGGTGGAATTCTGCCCTCGGCTAACACAAATTCCCCCCGCTGTGGGAAGAATGCCGAGGCCTTCTTCTACATGTCCTGGCATAATCCCTGACCCGAAACTGATACAAGGAGGAAAAGTGCATTTAGCTTTCGGCTTTGGCTCCAATTAGCAGTTCACTGTAGCAGCCTTTGGAGGCAAATTTTACAGCTTGGCCTTTGGTGTCACCACACGTATACGTAACACACATGGAAAATTACACAATATGTCAGAGAAGACACAAAAAAACACAGAGCATTTAATTTAAATGCTTTTTAATTTTTTTTTTTTATTTGACGTTCAGTTAAGACCCAAATTATTCACAAATCTTGCTCGTTTGGATCTTAAGTATATATTTTAACCAATATAAAAACATTATTAGTAAAAAAAAAGGTTTTAAGATTTTCTTTTGAAAAAAAATTAAATTTCAATATAAATATTGCCCTTAATAATTCCAAGAAATCATGTGTGGCAATCGAAACCACTTTTATTACATAATCACTGCTTCCATTAGTTTTCTAAAATGATTATTTGGGTTTAAAGGTCACCTCACCATCACATTAATCTTCTTTTCCCTCCTTTACCTTTCAAGGGGATGAATAATTTTGGGCGTAACTGTATTTTATGAAATATTTTTAATCTTTTTTTTCCAGGGTAAATCTTTATAAATTCTTCTCTGAAATATGTTTCTAGTTTGGATGAGTTATTAGAATAGTTGGGCAGTGAGAAAAGCTTTCAAAAGATAATAGGTAGCTTTATTTCCCCCATTTCAACAACTAATCTCTATAGTTTATGTAAACTCAGATTTAGCATGTATAGTCTGTGGGGTTTTATGCCCCTCATAGCCTTGATCAGCTTATCTCCTATATATCCTGGTTAATGAGTGTCTTACTGTAACATTTGGGCTGCACCTCTCCTAGTTCATAATTTAGAGCTTATTGCATCAGGTGATTTCCTGTCCTCTTATCTGGATATGAGCTGGCACAGCACACCGGCCATAACTCAGGCCTTTGACTTTGTTCTCTTGTCATATTTGTGCTTTAACTCGCTGTAAAGAAGTCCTCTATTGTAGTGAGGGGGAATCAAAGCAGTGAAGGGGGCTACTGTACAGTGATGGATTAGCATCTTCAAGGCGGATGGAAGGAAAGGGGAGGAGGCAAGGGGAAAGCTGCTGAGCCTCACTGACTTTGTTCATAACATGCATCACAGAAAACAGGAGCACCCTACACACACACACACACACACACACACACCATCGCTCCCCCCTTTGTTTCTCAAACGTATCAGAGCTGCAGCTTTGGGGTGTGTGTCTGCATGAGAGCGGCGTGTGAGGGCCTGTGGAGATCCTCTCCATGACAAAACACACAAAGCCTGCCATCAGCCCGACGTGACGTTCCTCCTTCAGCTTTTTTTGTTTTTGCTACACACTTGCACAACCCGAAAAAAAAATGCTTTTACTCATAGTCAGAGAAAATGCTGCATTTTCCTACTCAGCCAGTTCCTGATATATTTGCTCTCCCACTTAGTTTTACCTCCTATTTGTCATAGCATGGTAAAAAAGCTGAGATTTTCTGTCAGTGCGTTATATTTAGCTAAGGGAAAAGATCCAGGTGAGATGATCAGGAAGGAGACAGGAAGGAATGAGGGAGAAAAGGCCAGGGTTTGTGTTTAGAGGAGGCATGTGAGCTTTTTTTTTCTGAGCAGAGAGAGGTGAGGAGTGGAATGCAAAGGTAAGAGAACAATGAAGTGCTGTGTTTCCCTGTGCGGCCGATAGAGCCCACCTCCAACACCTACTCTCCCCCACTTTACTGGTACATTCCTGATCAGTTTGCTGAGTAGGAGCCTCCCAGCATTACTCCAAAATCATGGAATTCTCAGGAACGGTGGTGGAGGTGATGGGACAGGGTAAAGAAGGCCAGGTCCAGGTCAAGCCCTCATATTAAAACCACTAAACAAAGAGAACCCCCCTAAAAACGCACCCACACACACACACACATAGCCCACCTTCCTAAAAAAAAGTCAACCAGGAAGAAGGCCGATGACAGGTCCGAGATGCATGAGGACGTGTGCAGATTTAGATGGAAATGAATCACAGGGCTGCAGCGCGGAGCCAGGATGAATGGTTCCGAGGGCTTAAAGAGGAATATCCTACAGACACGTTGTTAATCATTCTCCCCACTTCTTTCCTGAGTGGATTGCTGCTGTGGGTAGAACAACCACAAAAACTTCAACTGTGGTGTTTTTTCTCCATATTTAAGTTGAAATTTTCCATGTTCTGCCATGTTTTCACTCAATTTTATAACTCGTCTTCCCAGTGGGACCTGTTAAAGTAAAGATCTGTGACTTCATCTGGTTTCTGTCTCCGTCTCCTCATAGGCTCTCTCTGTGTGGTGGTAGTTATGGCAGAAGGAATACTTGTGCCTCTTTCTGGGGTACTATTTTCTTTCTTTTTCCTTAAATGCTTTGTTTAAGGGAATTTTCTTCCGTCTCTGCTTCTCTGTGTTCACACTATCTGTTACCATTGGGCCAGAAGTCAGGGAAGATAAAACATTTACTGCTCTGCGAAGACGTGTAAGAATCTTGCAGGTTGTAAATCATAACAAGTGGCAGTAGGGAGGAACAAAAAGGGTCTTTTGTTCTCTAAAACAGGGTTACAAATGGTTTATTTTGAAGCACAGTGCTTGTATAATTGATGAAGACGCTTAAAAATAAATATAATTACATTTTATTTCCATTGTATGTGCTATACCAAAAACAATGTAGTGCATAATTTGGACTGCGAAGGTTTTTAAGCTATTTACCCACCAAAAAATGTGGGGTTTTTTTATGTATGCATACAGCCACAATTTCCTCTGATACCAAATAAAATCTTGAGGGATTTTATGAGTAAATTTTAAAAATAAACTGACGATGAGTGAGGAACAGGTCTAGGAGCGGTAGGTGTAGAGGGGGGGCTCAAAAAGACTGTGTTGTTCTGGGCCCTATCAAAGCACACAGTTCCTATGGTGAAACAGGGTGGTGGCAGCATCATGCATCGTGGATGCTTTCAGCTGAGATGGGGGAGCTATTAGATGGGAAGAAGAATAGAGCAAAATTCCCCTCGGAAGAGTACAAAAACCTCAAGTCTAGCACCACACATGATATAGAATGGTGTAGATCAGCTGACACAAGACATTTATTTTAGCTTTTTAAAATAAAAACACCAAAGGTTTAATTTGACCTCACATTTATGGGTTATTTAATGTTGGTCACATGAAATGCAATAAAGTGTATGAGAATTGACTGGGAGGTTCTAACCTTTTGGGTCAGTTAATTACCACTGTTTGACATGTTTTACTTTTTCTTTCCTCGTCTGTATTGCTGTAACATATTCTGGCACCACTTTACAATAAGCATTCCAATATAAAATAAATATTTTTTAGATATGTTATAAGTGAATCTATAAACTCTTTAAAACTCATTACTTACTCGTTCCTTTCTTAGGTTTGTTATGCATTTAACATGGTGTGCATGCTCAGAAATTATGTTTTGCAAATGCTTAATGTGATTGAAATGTTGTAGCTTAGTCTGAGTGTAGATTATGCTTATTGTTTGGCAAGGAACTGGTTTCATGTCCTGCTCACCCTTGATTAATGCACAATAAATACATTTAAATGAGTTATAACATGTTCAGAAAGAGATTCCCTAATGCAAATCTGGCATCTACTTTAAAACCTCTTGTACAATTAAACATGTTTTTTTCATAGAGCAACTTTAAATAATTTCATCCAGTTACTCAATCCATGATCTTTCTTAGCCTCCATCCAGCTTGGGAATAATGATTGTCTCCTCTGGCTGGATCTGCAGCAGCTGATCCTCTGCGTACTTTTTGTTAAACTGTCTCGAGCCACACCTTGTCA